TTCTCTAACTGGTATCAGTTCGTCATCAAACTCGGAATGTTTCCTTATATCATCTCATGAAGTAGTATGACTACTGTTCAGAGCATAGATTCATTCATTTCTTCATATCTTTTGGATTCCTTTTGCCTGTTTCTACTGATCACTCTTCGGTGATTAATATTTTATCATTGTACAACGTGTTCCAACATGTAAATGTGCCAAGAGAGACGAACAGTCTGATTCACACTGATATACATGAGTCAATAGTATATGAAGTGACTAGACAACATTGATGTGTAGAGCACAGACAAAAATTCTGTCCTAGAAATGTTTTGGCAGGATGCCAAGTATAGAAATCTGAAATAACTAAGTACAATAATTATGTTGAGTAGTTCGGAAAAACATTTTTCCTGAGAAAAACAACTAACTATAAACACTCCGTAGAAATTAGTTGTTACTATGTTCATTCTCATACAGACCTAGCTCAGAGCAATGCTAAGGTTACATGTCTGGAATCTTTCGACTGGTCAGTGCTAACTCGAAAGTCTATCTAGAGATTCAAGATATTTTGAAGTGAGTTCTTCATAACCAGTAGGTAGATGTGTGGAGTTGTGCAGCAAACTAGAATAAATCTATTTTGGTAAAAGCACACATAGATACAGTACGTTCTGAGAACAATTTACCACTGCTCATGATCACTATCAAGGCACTCAGTAAGAATTTCAAACTTCGTTTATATAATCATTATAATAAAAGTTTTTATATTTCCCAATGAATGAAAAACAAAACGATATTGTTATTACTGACGTTTCGCTATTTAATGCTGCTAATAGCTTTATCAAAGTATTATTAAACCGGAATTTACAAAATCTCAGTATATATATATATATATATATATATATATAACAAAGAGTTAAGCGGTGAGGAAATAGACTTAGGTCAAGTTAAAAGGGCATATTGAAAGTTAAAATACCAATGAAGATCACTAAAGCAAATAACAAAGGTAATAGTACATCTGTTATGGTATCAACATAAAGTTTACTAACTTGATCATCGTTCGTCAGTCTGGGGTCATTTTTTGTTGTTGTCAAGTTAGTCAACTGGTAAAGATAACAAAACTAAATGTAGATTGCGTAAAATTATAAAACCAGTGTGTGTTTACATAGTGAACTTGCATATCACATTCGTGTTGATTTTGTCACTTCATGGGGGAGGTGTTGTAACCAGGTCAGATTCTGTTTTAATCCATCATTCCTATTCAGACAATTTGGATTCCATTTGATATGAAGTGCTTCTGATATTAGACGTTCTTTATGATTTCTGAAGTTTTTCTGGATTATCTCGATATTGTCAAAATCAATTTTGTGGCCTGATTCCATAGCGTGTAGACCTTTGGCCGATGATTTTTCAAGTTTTTCTAGTTCAACCGGATTTCTCGGTGGTCGAACAGATGATCTACGGTGTTCATTTCTTCTGATTACCTTGATTTCTCGAGATGTTTGTCCGATGTATGTCGCATCACATTCCAAGCAGGCATTTTATTTTACAGACACAAATAAATAGAGAATCTTTAGTGATCTGGTCTTTTATATGGACAAGGTTGTTTCGTAGTGTGTCTGATGTTTTGAAGAAAACCCTAATGTCGAGCTGATTGAGTACTCTTCTGATATCATCTGAGGTCTCTGCTCTATGTGGAATGACGACTGTCGAGGTCCATATTTTTCGGAATGCGTTTTTAGCCATGCTTAATATCGTTTATATAATTCTATTATTTCTCACTCTTTCCTCTGGTTGGTGGTAATATTTCCCCTGGCACTGGCGTTGAATCATTCCTACTGCACGTGTTATGTGCAGATTCAGTGGACAAACATTCTGTGATTAACCTCTCCTACCATATATCTATATTACTTTTTAAAACTATATCTCTGCTTATTCTTATTGTGTGATTTTGTGTTAATGCATGTATTGCAGTTGTTGAGTTTCTCTCCAAACTATTCATCTTTTTGGAGTCAATCATTGTACACTAAGCCGTTTGCCTATGTTCCAATAATCTGACTATCTCCAACCTACTGGTCCCACCTTTGGTCTAGGCCTCACAGTCATTTCAAGTTATTTTATAGGACAACTTATTTCGACTAGTTGGGTCAGTAGGGTTCATTAGCCTATGTAGTTTGTCCCTAAGTGAGTTAATAGGTTTAAATGACACCCTAATACCTGCTTTATTACAAATTCTTCATAAAGTTTAAGATGTCCCTTCTTCATTTTGTAAAACTGTAGATTCCTTAAATGCTCTTTTATTCCTGTTACGGTCAATAGGTCCACTACTGTTTTTCTGTTTATTGTGACCTTTTGGAATCATTTTAAGGGATTTTATGGGACACTTGTTTAGTACATACCCTTCATCCATCTCTTTCATGTCATCGCTTAGATTTTCTGATGTACTACTTGGAGTTTTTTTCTGGTATTTTTGGACACTTGGTTAAGTAAACGGATGAGATGAATTAGAGTCTAAATATCTGCTAGAGGGCATTAGCTTTTTATAAACGCTAGTGCATAATTCACCTTCTTGTGTGCGTTTTATCTTATTATCTTGAACAGTTAACTTTCATGTTTCATTTCTCAAGTGCAAATTTTGTTCTACTATACCACGCTGTTCAAGTTTTACTGGTATTTCAATGAAACCTAGCTCTTCGTTTCACCGTAAAATGTTACCATCTGATTTTATTAATATCAATCTGAGAAAACGAAAGCCATGTCAGTCAGATGTGTGTAAGTAGCGCAGCAGTCAAATGCTTGCCGATCACGAAGGTGGTCCGGCTTTCTATCCCTGGCCGTCACGCTCCTTTACCTCACTAAGTCAGTAATAAAACTGGTAAGGAGGAAAGGATGGACAGGAGACTAGCAACCCCACCCCTCATATAAATAAACACCACTGCTACTGAATGTACCCCAAATATTCATCAACCTTATTCAACAGCTGTACCACAACGGCACATGTCAAGTCATGCACAACGGAAAACTCAGTGAGGCGTTTCGAGTAAACACAGGAATCAGACAAGGGTGCTTATTATCACCAATGATATTCCTAACTGTGGTGGACTGGATTATGCGTCAGACAGTGGGAAACGGGAAGACAGGGATATCCTGGGCCGACGTGAAGAACCTAGAAGACCTGGATTTCGCGCGTGGATGATTTATGTTTGATGTCACACAAAAACGAAGACTTACAAGCGAAAACCGATAAACTGATCAAATAAGCAGCAAAGACAGGACTCCAGGTGAACATAGACAAGACGGAGGTTATGAAAATAACCAACCAACAACAACAACAACAGCAACATCCAGCGCCAATCACCATCAACGGGAGGGATTTGAAAGAGGTTACTTCTTTCACTTATCTAGGGAGCATTGTGTCAACTGCAGGAGGAACGGACGAGGATGTCAAATCGAGAATCGGAAAGGCGAGGAACACATTCATCAACCTGAAACCAATCTGGAAATCTTCGTCACTAAGCATCAGCAACAACATTCTTCGGATTTTCAATACAAACGTCAAGTCAGTTCTTCTATACGTACGGATCAGAAACTTGGCGGGTCACAAAGAATATTTCCAACAGCCTGTTGCAGACCTTTATCAACAACTTTCTTCCCTGGCTCTATACTGAAGATCAGATGGTCGGAAAGAATCACAAACAAGAAGCTATGGGAACAAACAAACAAAACAAGAACCAATCGTCCAACAAATATGCAGGAGAAAGTGGAGATGGATTGGACACTCGCTGAGGAGGCCACTGGGTGACATTGCGCGTCAGGCCATCGCTCGAGTGGAACCCGAAAGGGAAGCGACGAGTGGGACGTCCCAGGGTGACATGGAGGAGATCGTGTGAAGAGGAGTTGAAACAGTATGGAATAACATGGATGCAAGTGAGAAGTACAGCAGAAGACAGAAGCAAGCAGAGGCGTGCAGTTGAAGCCCTATGTTCCACTAGGAACACAAGGGAACAATAATATAATAATATACTGCTACTGAAACTTCAAGTTTCTAGCTTGAAGCACTATGTTACACTGAGAACATAAAGGAATAAAAAGGATGTCAGGCAGAATGATCAACGGTCTTGCCTTGAAACATGAACTTATTTTGTTCAATCCCCAGTTGCCTTGTGGGTTAGTACTGCGGAAGAGTTCTAAAATAGGGGAGAATAACTGTCCAATGGTTCTCTGAATAATGTCACTTTCTGATGCAAATTGTAAAGCTGACTAAGTAAATTACTTCTTCAGATAAATAAAAAGTACTTTTCAACCGTCCTTAATCCTCTAAACAATAAAAATATTCACAGGATTTCATCATGATCTGACATCAGTGAGAGGACCACTGGAAAACCTGAGAGTACCGGGACGGCTGTTTCATCCTGGTTTAGGATTCTTCATAAATGCGGACCAACTGGACTTTGAACCCATGACCCTCAGGTTACAAGGTAGGCTCACATGCCATTCAGGCACAGGGACCCGATTTAGTGGTTCATGAATTCTAACTTCTACCAATTCATGATAGATAAATGCACGAAATGCCTGGAAAATAGTAGACGTTTGAGGACGCAGAAATAAGTTTGGTGAGTCACTTCAATTTGTCGTCCCTTTACATTCCGTTTGGAATATACAGCTTGAAACGTGCAATTTGAAGTCTTAAAAGAGTTTTTGTTTTACCTACTGGATTGCCAGCTTCACACTCAACCTTACCTCTTTTCCGGGCATACTACCACCTTGGCGTGGTTAAGCAGAGTGTGTCGGATGGTAAACCAACCCGGACGACGTAAGGCGTGGTTGGCCAACCACAGACTCACTGTCTCCCTTTGATATGTATTTATTAAAATGCGATTGAGCAACCGTATGCTGAAGAATTTTACAAACAGATAAGCAGTTATTATTTATGTAGAGACTTTTGTTATTGGAATATTTTCATGCAATGACAGATAGTTAAAATTTTCTTACAAGTGTTCTTTTTTGTGTTGTATTGATTTTAGCTAGATCATCTTCAGTACTGTCTACAAAGATATGAAATTGAACGTGAAGAGGCCGGACAAGCTATTCGTCGAATTGAAGAACGTATGCAGGAATTAGAAGCTCGAGCAACGGATCTACTTGAGTTTGTAAGTGTTTATTTTCTCTTTTTTAAACCATATTTTATAATTCATGAGTGTAAGCGAGGTGTACAACTGTTTTGCTACTGATTCTCTACAAATTGTTACCCAAATCCAGAAAAAGCAGCTGGTAAACCAAACACATTGTCAACTAGCCAGTGATTTCAAACTTCTGTTCAGAGTCTCCACCCAATGTTGTCTCCTGTGGGGGACCTATCTTTATTCTCGACTTAGTAAGTGCAGCTGATCACCACTTCTAATTATTATTATTATTCCCTTGGGTTCTAGGTAGAACAAATAGCTCCAGCAGTACATCTCCATTTCACCTGATTCTCTTCAGTCGTCCTTAGCGGCCTCCATGAATGTCCATCAGATCTCTCATCCTCCCTACATGATCTCCAGCATGTCACCCTCGGAATTACACTCAACTCATTGCTTCCGATTCAGGCTTCACTGTAGTGAGCGATGCCACTGAACGGTCTCCTCAGCGTATATCTAATCCACCTTCACTTTCTCCAGTACATTCGCTGGGCAACAGTTCCTTGGCTGGTTCATTGCCGGAGTCTCTTGTTGCTAATCCAAGTCTCTGAACCATATAGAAGAAGTGACTGACTTAACATTGGTGTTGAAAATCCGACTCTTGTTCTTTATGCAGCAGATTTGCACACCGATTTCAGACTATTGAAGGTTTCTCGTGACTTTTTTTGATCCTATTTGCCTTTGACATCCTCATCTCTGCTGCCTGCCTGTAGTTGGAACGATGCTGCCTAGATAAGTGAATTGACCACCTTCAAAATTCTGCCATCGATAATGACTGGTGCTTGTTATTTTTACTGTTGTTAGTCAGCGGGTTTCTTCATCACCACTGTCTTCTCTCTCTCTGTACACTTCAAGTCCTGTCTTCGCTACCTGTCCTTCCATCTTCTTGTTTTTCGCCTGAAGATCTTCGATTTTGTGTGACACTAACTGTAAATCATCCAAGAAGTCTAAATCTCTTAGTCTCATCAGAACTTTGAAAAATGACGCGAGAAGCTAGTTGTCAGTGCTCATTACACTGAATTTATGTTCCTGCGTTTGTAATCAGCTCTGGTCATCTAATGGCTACATTGTATCGTTATCTCTTCCACATCCGATTATCATGACCATCTGTGTAAAATAAAAAAGAGTTACACATTGATATCAAATAAAAGTCTAGTGTTCCCTTAGATTTCACTGATTCTCCAGTTGATGTAGACGATGTATACACTGGAAGTGATCAAGTCTATAGAGAAAGAGACACTTCAGAGTTATTCTCAGCCGCCTTCTTAACCTCGTCACTGTTATTGCAGTCATAAATCAACAGTATGTGAGCCTGCTGAGTGTACTATAGGCACACTGACGACATCATTTGTATAGAAAGGACTGCAGAAGTTTCCACAGCACACTTTTCGACTGAGTTCTGACAAAGGTTAATTTCAGCGTAAAAACTCTTTGTAACAGCATCTGAAATTGTTTTTAAAGCCTTTACCCTAACAATCCCTATAAGATGGAGTTTGATCTTACACAGTCAGAAATCAGAATAATATGGATCTGATTGTGTGAGTCAATTCACAAGATGACTAACAGTCAAGTTAAGCATAAAGTCATCGAAATCAAAAGTGTCACTGCATGTATGAAAAAATTCATGCGCGATTGATTCTGTTCCCAGTGGCTAAATAGTCTATGAGCTTGACTTTGTAACCAAAAGATCCCGGTTTCAAAGCCTGATGGTGGGCGCTTACTGCCTATGAGTCTTAAAAGATTAGGAGGAAATAAATGTCTATGTCAGATTCTGCGAACACATACCAAGGAGCCTCTGGTTCAAGGGACCAAATTATTTAAGCTCTTCAATCGCCAAACACCTGATTGACACAGGACACCGAGTAGATGTGCTGGAATCATTCAAAATAATTAACAGATAAAGTACCTCAAGTCTTCTCACGTTTGCCGAAGCTATAGCAATAAAACGATTTAAGCCCGACTTATGTGTCCAAAAAGACTTCAATTACCCTTGTAACTCACTTCTTAGTAACTCTTTGTTTTCTAATTTTGTTAACTTATCTTATCACTCCACCCCTCCCCTTTATGTTTCGTTTGACTCTCTTAAGAGATAATTTTTCTTGATCTTCTGAGTTCTGCTCACTGTATTACATCATCAATTTCTCATCTGACTTCATATGCACCGTAATTTTAAAAATTGTAATCTTCTCTAATCTAATTACTTAACTATTGCTAATTATCTTTTGTTACCACCCTAACAATACAACTGTTACTTAGTTTTTTAAGAAACTTCTTTCTAACAAGATATATATATGTCGTAACACTTTATACACTCTATAAATCGCAACGTCTTATTTTACCGTGACGCTTGGTAATGGACAAAGGTTGTACGCAGCTGATGAGAACCAACGAAACAAGATGGATCCAGATTATTCTGCGCCAATGTTTCTTCTGTCTTTGTTCAGATTTATAAAAGGGAATCATTGTATGAAATGTCTAGTACTCGCCAGATGGTTTTCAATGCTTCTCTAACTGATATCAGTCCGTGGTGGTCAGAAGTGAAACAAGTCGAATTCCTACAAATTAACTCTTGAAAGCATAAAGTTAACCGCATAGTTTAGAGAATTCTTACAAAACACAGAAACATATCAAAGCCTACTTGGACAGGCATATCTTCAGGACATATAGTCTGCAGTTCAGGGGATTTCATATAGATTTCTTCAAAAGCAGTCATTACTGCCTTCTTGTCTTACAGTGGAATACAAGTTCCATACACTTAACGCGCTAGTAAGACTGAACAATATTTGCGTGTTCAGTTACAAAAAGACAATATCGTTAAATATATATATACATGTTTTTCGGTACAACCATATGGTACTTAGAATTTCTTTAGATTAATTACGTAATACCAAAATCGGAATGACAAAATGTCTACCTATCCATGTGTACTAACTAACTAACTAACTAAGTAGTTAGGTAAGTAACTAACGCAATTACCGATAATGTTAACTTTCAACTAGAGAAAGCTAATTTCCAATTTGGGTACAGTCAGTTAGTTCATTGTCTATGTAACAAGTACTTTAATGATATCGTTTATTTCGTTACATGTATATATATATATATATACTGTTATTAAAAGAGTGCGAGTGTGTTTTTAGTCTTGTTTTGGGGCTTTGCAAATTAGGCTATCCTGATAACATGAGTGAAAGTGATACACACTTTCTTTGATACTGGCGGTCAGATCAGTTTACTAGCTTTTCAAAAATTAATTTAGTAGGGATATGATTAGTATCAGGTTTAGTGACGGATTGGTTAGTGTCGGTGATAGAATTATTGAAACCACCATCAGGGAGTACTGGACAGCTGCTTCATCCTAGCTTGGGGCTGTTCAACAGTACACTCATAACCTCATCACACATCGAACCTGGGACTTTCAGGTTGCAAGGCAAGCTAGTCGGTGGTTCAACCGACCGGGCCACAATCCAATAAATCATGAGTTCTTACTTCTGTCGATTCGAGACTTCAGAGCCACCACCGGTGAATGCCATCAACAACTCACTCAACTTGAAACAAACCGAATTGGTACGAACTCCTGAAAATTTATCTGATGCTCACGAGTGACTGGCTATAGAACGACGACATTGCCTGGCGTTCTAGTCAGAACTTGTCAATATTAGAGTGACGACAAACACTCACTAATGACAGTGGCTGATAATCGCGCTGAAATCGTGAATTGACATGGCATTAGAATTCATGGGTCATTAAAAGCCGACTCAAGTGACTGAATTGTCAGTGAAGTTGGCCTTGTAACCCGAAGGTTCCAGGTTCTATCCACGATGCGGTAGTGGGTGTTTATCGCTGAATTGTCCCATACTTGAACAAAACAGCTGAGCGATACTCTTTGGTGGTTTTCAGTGGTTCTCTAGCTGACTCCAATCCATGATCAAACAGGAAGCAAATCAAATCCCTAAAAAACCACCTCTTTAAAATCTCGTAAACTATGACCCAACAGGAGTAAACGTTGTATCAGTTCGTTCCGATCACCTCTGACCGTGTGACTGCGGCTTTTGACCTTGCCCTTCCACCCAGTGACTCAAACTTCAAGCCAAATGCTATCAGACTGGTGTTTTTAGGTAAATCTATGTTCTAGACTGGACATCCGGATAGATCCCGGAAGAACTACAAGATCAACTGAAGTGAAGGCACTGACTCCAACAAGTCTTCTCTTATTGACTGGACAGAACAGTATAGAAGCTTTTTACTCGTTAGTGTTTGAGAGGCACCAATTAGCTGACCACAAAGTTGGAAAAAGAATTGAAAAAACATGAATCATCAAGTAGCTAGTTTGCAGTTTAAAGAGGTCTTTATCCTCAATCAGTAGTGAGTAACCGCCTTCACTTTCTTCTTTATAGACCTTACCAATCATAGTTCCTCTTCTAGCTTTCAACAAATACTCTTCGAATTTACTCAGTTATGAAGACTACTTTATAAATGAATCAAAAGAATTCTTATGGATTGTTGGTTAAGAACAGAAGCAGTTTTCTTCACGAACCAAGGCCTTAAAAATCAGCTGAGCTCTGTCAAATCAGCAAATTTGGAGTATTTGGTAAATCAGTTACCAATAACAAAGAATTATGTCGAGGATTGACAATAACTGAAGAACACCTGGTATGTAAATCCCGCCCCAGCACTGACTGAACAGTCAAGTGATATTTCATGGCAGTCTAAACGTTGCACAGCTTGTCCCTGTTTTGAGTGAAGGTGGCTGTGTGTCTACAGCAGAAATGGATATAAACCAGTAGAAAATAGCTTCCCAATACTCCCTGGTTTTGAGTGGTTCCCTGGTGGGGATCTTGTTCAGCTATCATAAAAAGCACCTTTGAAAGTCCTGTCGCTTGATAGCGTGCAGCGATGAAGGCGACTTTTAAGACACATTTATAATTGAAATCCTTCCATTAAGAGTCTTAAGCGTCAAATAGTAAAGAAATGAA